TTTTCAGTGCCAAGCTGAAAACATTGCACTGAAAGGCACTAACTCCTTGTATCATAAGTTAGTTTGAGCCTGCTTCCTAAACAAGAACAGATGCTCAGAGAATCAGATATGACTGAGCCTAAGTGTTTTCTGATATCATTTCCAGCTCCCATAGATTATAAACATGAGATAAATCAACTTAAATCCAACTGACCTGACATCACATGCAAGGAATTATCCCACTGTGAAACAGCTGATTGATTCTTCTTCTCCATTTCAAAATGGTAGTGTGAGCTACTGCGACATGCAATGAATGCCACAAAGCCGCTCGGCACAAAAATTACTCTCTATCCATGAAAAATAGCTGAATTTAGACAAGAAATTTTCTTCTAGTGGTTTCCAGTCTCCTGTAGACTACGGGATAGATTTCATACCCTATGCTAAATAAACCCCTTGCAATAATGTGCATAGTAAATGTATTTCCAAGGTAGTTGACTATTTACTGCAAATTCGGTGAAAAAAACACACATTTTAGACCTCTCCTCTCTCCAAGTACAGTGCACCATGCAAAAGTAGGATCTAAATGTTTTACAAAAACAAGTTCTTTTGTAAAGACCTCAGGAGTCTCCCCATACCCATTTGACACTCAGTCAGGAATAGAGGCTTGGATGCCTGACCTTAATCCACCAACTGAAAATTAATATAAATAAGAAAGGTCAAATTCCTAAACAAAACAAAAGTTAAGGAAGACGGTGTTTCTGTCAAGGAAGACTTAAGAGAAACTCATCCTTGTTTGTCAGAAACAAAGGAACAAATCCAATTTTGCTTGCATAGCCAAATGCTTTCTTTTTTTGCATTTCCTTTTTGAATCCAAACATATTGGAGTAGAAATGAGCAGCTGAATAAACTGATATATTTCTCTGTGAAATCTTGTATTTTTATAATATTTTTTCCCCTTTTTTTTCCCTACAACACATTTCTGGGTTTTGGTGTGAAATCAAATGGATACATGAATAACAACAGATTTCATGTTCTTTTGAATGGCAGGGTGTTTTAACTAAGGCTGGGCAGAAATTTGTGCATGACGATGGGACACAGGAAAAGGAACATGACATTTCTGAAGCAGGATGAACCTTTAAAGTTATTGTAAATGTGGCTATGCTCCTACCTCTCTTCATGAGTACAGAGACTATTAATCATTCTGTGTCCCCTCTGATCCTCTTTGTCCTCAATATTCTGTTCTTAAGGGCATGACAAGGCAGCTTAGATTTTGTGTAATTTAAATACCTACAACTAGCAACACACAAGTTGGAACCTTAAAAACAGACAAAAGAAAGATAAACTCTTACACCAGATTCAGACCTCACAATAAGGTGTTTTATAATACTGTATTTTTAATTTTTTTTAAATCTCAATAGCCCATCACATTGAATAACAATCTTGCAAAATGCACTGTTTATCAAAGCAGATGCTACTTTCACAATATATTTTGTTTATAAATCTTTCCTTTGGCTTTAGCTTGAAGTCTGAGGGTTTTGTTTAGGTTTTAGTTGTAGCTAACACGAAAAGGGTCTTCTGGCTTTTTTTGGCCTGAGCTGAACACCACAAATAAATCTGCTTAAAGTAGAGTTCTAAATGGATGCCACAGCTTTAGATAGCTGTGGTGTAGCCACTGAAGAAAAAAAAAATCAACTTTTATTAGGCCTGTTTGCATTATGGAAAGATTTTTAATATAATTACACTTCGGGATACTTACAACAATAAATAAAAACTGGCCAGACTGGTCACCATAAGATGCTCAAAATCTGGTTAACTTTCACTGTTATTTTCTCATTCCAAACTTTATGTCCAGCTGCCATTTGTTACTGAACAAACCCTTTTGTGAGTTGTACCTGTCCTGCCTTACAAGAGAGCACATCTGAGAGGTGCCACATGGCAGCAGTGCAATTCCAGCAAAGGGTACCTGTGGGTGACTGTCAATGCACTGTAACCTGGACAGGCTGAGACAGCTCCTGTCCTGCAGCACCTCAGGGCAAGCTCTGCTGGTTTTGCAGACAGTGCTAAGCAGGATGAAAGTTTTAGCTTTTTCTTTTTTCCCCCTAGTGGAATAAAGCTTGTCTGTTCGTCCTTCAACACGGAATCTCTTTTGGAATTGTAATTAATCAGGCGCAAGGAACATGGAGAAAATCAGGTTTTAGTAGTGTAACTGTTCATTAATTCATTTGAGTGAATTTATGGGTGTCTCATCCTCTATGATATTTAATGAGTTCAACAAATTCACTGCAGTAGATGTTTGGTGAGACATAATGTTATAAAAACATTTCATCCCTGATTTACAAAACTGAAGGCAGGCATTTTATACCATTATTGATTTTCCACAAATATACATAGATGCGTGCATGATACACAATATAAACAAAACTGTTCAAACACTTTCCAAAACTGAAACCAAATCAGCAGAAATGCCACTTACTGACCTCAACAGAACAGCAGGGAAAATGCTGCCTTGTTCTCCTTCTCATGACTCTGGCCTATTTCTCTAAATTACAGGGCCAAACCTCTGCAATAAATAAGCATCACTATTAATCCCTTGTGCCAGCTGTCTTTGCTCACACAGGGGCTCAGTGCCCCATGCTATGTAATTCAAATAAAACACATGATTTGAAAGAACAGAGGGAATAATTTCAGCAGATTACTCTGAGTTGCAGCTGATCCTACCTCGGTCCTGCTCAAAAATTGTGTTTGATTTCAGTTTCCTCTCACAATCTCTCAGACTCTCTGATTAACAGCAACATTTTATCTGCTGGTAGCATGTCTTCAGAATTTACAGCTGAAGATACTAACTTTGAAAAAAGGAAGGTTCAAGAATATTGTTATACTCTGACCATGTAAATTTGTGTCTCAAGAAACACCAAAAAATTCTAAACTGAATGGAACATGTTTGGGAGACTAGGTATGTGAAATAGATACATTTTGTGAATTACAGGATTTCAATATAGAGTATGGCATGTTGAAAATGTTCCTGTGCTGAAGTGTGTGGTTTTTCCTCAGTTCTAAGGCATAAAGAATTTGAACAGCTTCTGCACACTTTAAAATATTCTGGGCCATGTATGGTAAGAACTTCAGTGTTTTTTCACACCCAAGCTATGTAAATTCTGACCTCCTTGGAAATGTAATCCCTGTACATCTAGCCAACAGAGACTGGCCTCAGAGAAGAGGACTCATTTTGTTTTCTTTTAATAGAAACTAGAAAACTACAAAAATACTACAAAAATGAAACTACTAGAAAACTAAAAAAAAAAACTACATAGAAACTACAAAAATGTACAAGAAATTACTTCTGGGGAGGCATGAAGCCTGCATGCTTCACCCTTAATCCTCCTGTCTTTAGCCATAAACTGACAACTCCACCATTTCAGTGACTTCTTGCTGTTGGTTTGTTGCTGGGAATGTTAGAGAATGCTGGTACTGAGCAGAGTTTCATTATACACAAAGTGAAAAGGGAAAAGAGGTTCTTTCTTGTACTAATCTAGTCAGAACATGGAAGTCATAATAAGCTCAGCTTGGGTCTGTCTTATATTTTGAGTTGCCATCAATTCTTCCACAGCACAGATTCATGAGTAGTTCTGTCTCTTCTCTAAGCTCTCTGTATGAACAGACCTCAACATGATCATGACAATGCTGTTCCCATCAAAATTAATCCTGGTACAGGAACTGCACCAGTGTTCCCAAGCTGACCTGAGAGGGAGCCAGCTGGAATAGCATCAACAGCTCCTCTCCAGCAACAGCCAAGCATTGTTTAATGGCAGGTCATCTTAATATGACATACTGGGGACCCAGAAATGGAAATATAGTAATAGAATCATAAAGGTTGGAAAAGAGCTTTAAGTTCAAACATTAAAATCCTCATTTATTCCAATTTCCTGTGCATTCACTTAACATGCAGCCAACAGTTGTACTTCCAGTAGGATCAGTTCCTAGGAAACTGAATTTACCCAGTCACATCCTATCATGAATTTAATTGACTATGTTTATCAAACCAAAAGGACCACAAAAAAACCCAAAGAAGTTAAACTAAGTAAACCACTCACCGAGGGCGGCGGGGGGGTGGAGGGAAGTAGGCTACATAAGATACAAGATTTGTGATTTTCTGCAGCTGTTCTCAGCATTGCTTAGCAAATTAAGTTAACACAGAATGTCATTCAGAACTATCTTTAATCCTTCTTAGTGTTTTAGCACATTATAACAATTAATGATCTTTTATTAATTCATAGGCATTCAAAGATGACCTAAGAACAGTCACATTGTACTGGGTACTGCTAACTCATCTTTTATATTAACATTTACACTAATATTCTACTTAGTACCACACGTCCATACTACACAGAGAATTTTACAAGTGTATTGAGACCTTGATTTTGGAAAAAAAGACAAATACAGGCCTAAAGGGAATATGAGCATGTGCAATATTCTCTAGACCATAGAGGTAAATATGTGCATAATGCTTTGTATAGGATCCAGAGCTGCACAGTCATTCTTACAGAAGAGAAATAGTATTAGAATTAGAATTAGTGGTGCAACTTCACTGTAAGGTATGAAGCTAAATAGGTCAGGTCTGCCTCCCCATTCTGTCCAGGCTTAGAGCTGTCATCTATACCTCATTTTCATTCAATATTTTTTCCTGGATTCATTGAAATGGCAAGTCAAAACCTGCTCTGTCCTAACACACACAGGCATTTTTCATAAATGAATCTATGGTCACAACCAGTTCTCCCTCAGAGGAGGCAGATTAAAACAATGTCTAAAACCAACAAACAGAACATGTTTAGAAAGTGTTTCTTTTCCAGCACTAGTTTCCTTCCTATTACTTTGCATGCAATTTTTACAGTATGCTCATCACAGCCTAATGCAAACATTTCACAAACACAAAACATGTCCTAGTAGTCCCCTTATTTTACAGGATATTTTCCTTTTTATTAAGCTTGTTTTCATCAGTAATTAGATGGCCTTAGATGCCTTACCAGGGATAGGATAGTCTGACAGCGAAGTTTTACATTTTGTCCAGGTGACACACTTTTAATTGTTCTCAGGTCTTCCTGGGGAGAGCTGCAAGTCTGGGGAGCACTGCTCAACAAGTGCAGTCTGTCGAAGTTTCACCTCTGTCCCAGTGGCAAACAGCTGTCAAAGGAGTTAAAGACAGGCAGTGTTACGGAAGCCTGAGCTGGTCTGAGTTGGGTCAGTTAGCTCATTTTGGGACTGTTTGCTCCATTTTACCACGCTACAGGTCAAAACAGCACAGATACCAAGTAGTCCATTTTCTCTCATTAGAGTAGCTGGGCTTTTTTAAACCCTCTGCAGCTTTTCCTAGGTCAGTCCTTTCATGCACTGCCATAGTCTGTTGGATTAAAAAAGCCTGGAGATTACTATGATGCCTTGTGATAGGCAGATATCTGTCAGTGGCAGAGAACATTTCTCTTGCTATGGGCCTTTAGGTATAGAGAACTCTTCAAAAAGCAAATAGACAAGAAATACATTATTCCTTAAATGTGCCATTAGACAGGTTTAAGGAGTCCACATCCTGGATCTTCTTTTTGCACAGACTTGAAGGCTTATGTGAAAAGGACTACTCCTGATCTAGAGAAATAAAGAAACTTTCTGAGGAGAGGTAAATGAAAACCACCAAAACATCAGTGTTGAAGTAATCAGGAGAGAAAATCAATAAAATCTTATCAGCTGCATAACCATCAGAAGAGGGTACATTAGAAAGATGTGTTGCTGTCCACTCTTTAGGAATAATACTGACACTTCAATTTCTACCAAACTCATGAAATTACAAGAGCTGTTTACCATCCTATCTGCCAAACATACATTTCCATCTTTCTCTTCTGCCTTGGTGACCTGAACAACAGTAGCAGGTCTCATAATATATAGAGAAGGGGATGGAGGACAAGGGCAACCAATAGCCTCTCAGCTTTTCCCAATCACTCATTCTACAGGATGCTTAAATGTCACTTGCATGGACAACTTGGCAAAATACACCCTTCAGACCACCATAGGGCATATTTACCTCCAGGTGTCCTTAGGTTCCTACAAAGGCTTGTACTATGTGCCACATCTGATTTAGGATACAAACTTCAAAAGGAGCAAACATTTGTTTGAGGCCTTCAGGACACCCTTAGATGATAGTGAAAACAGGATTTGTACATTCAAGAGCCTCTGCATCTTCAAAAACAGTATAAATGATCATACTCTGCTTTCTACACCAGCATGCACAAGTAAGGCCTGTGTCACAAACCACCATGCAAAGTCAAGTGTAGAAGATCAATAACCTCTCCTTTCTTTTTATTTTTTTCCTTACAAGTGGCTTTATCACTATTTTGAGTTAGATTCTAATATTCCCGATAATAGCGCTATAAAAAACACTGCTGAGGAAGACACCAGTAAATTATCCAATCTATATTCCTGCCCGGCAGCAGGATCAACTGTAATTATTTCTGACAGATATTTTCATAACTTGTTCTTCACAATGTAACATGTCCTTGCAATTTACATTACAGTCAGTGGAGAATTCCTGTTTACAAAGAATAAAATCCATAACATCAGAAGAACAGTGCTCAACAGTATGCAAGGCTAAAAAAAATATGCAAGAATTTGCAGCAAATTTATAAACCAATTTAATTGCTGGTAGAAAGGTTAATCGGGGTTTATGACCACTTCCATGATGTTTTCCTCCAGAAAGTCTGAGAGTTTTATCTGTTAATGAAGAGCCTGTGTGTTTAGTATCCTCTTGTGTCAGTTGCTTTACACATGCCAAATATCATCTAGAACAGCCACTGCATTTGAATTACCATAATCTGATGAAACAGGTCTAATCAACCTGACCAGAAGAGCTTGATGAAGTTTTATCATTTGCCTCTGTTTCTTTTACAGTGTGTATTATTATAATTGGAGCTCTGTATAATCCAAACAATGCCCAAAAGCTGCTCAATTAAAATGGTGGTGGTTGACTTTAAACAGAAGTTCCTACCTCAAAGATACACCAAAAGACCAATAAATTCACATTTGTGGGTTACTATTCTAACTTTATTGCAGAACAACCTAGCATTTAAGTTTTAAAATGGCCCACTCTTCTATGACACATATACCCATCTATGGTATAGTAGAACAGACTTTCCCCCAAATTAACAGCCATGTACTATCAAACAAACAATTTTACTGGGTTGCAGAAAGGGTATAAGGTCTGGATTATTCTTAACATTTCAATGAAGTTTAGAAATTAAGCCTATCTCATTTAGTAAAATTGTCTTCAGACATAAAGAACCAGGCAGCATTTGCTGTCAAACAGATGTCTGAAAGTGAAACTCTGAGCACATAGTGCAATGTTTGGGATTTTGGGGGGTTGGGATTTTTCATTACACTGATCTTACCTGCAATCCTTGAATGGTTAGAGAAGATCATCAGATCTTTTTCTAGTATAGCCAGCATCTGCTATACTAACAGTTCAACAGTTAATCACTCCTGAATAGCATTCAACAATGACAGAAAAAAAAATCTCTAGCCTATTGTTAAGCAGGATGCAGTTTATCAGTCCATATGTTGAAAGAGATGTACAAATGAAATTCACAGCAGCAGCAATAATAAATTGCATGTTTAAAAAGCAAGATTATCAACCAGAAAGGCACATTTTACCAGTCACAGAAAGATATTTCCATTTCCAAGATGTTTTAGTGCATTCATGCCAAGTCCCAGCTGCATTTTAATGAAGATAAAAATAAAATTACTTGTACACTACACCGGCTCCACAGCAGAAGCACTTCCATGCCTGGAAACAGAAGAGACAACTCCTGAAGCAGAACTTCTCAAAGACATACAGATACAGCAGGGTACAAAGCAGCTGTTGCTGCTGACAGGATGGAAACTAAACATGCAGGAATTCTGCATGGAGTTGGAAGAGGAGAAGGGAAAAAGGAGAAAAGGTATGTGGCATATACAAGTCCACAAAATTTATCACAAGCCTTCCTTAGATAAATTTCAAGATTCTAATGGGAAGGCCAACACTACCAGCAAAGAAGCAGAGTTCTGTTGCAATTATAAATAATCTTCAGCAAAATAAATATTTTAATTATTTGCTTAAATCCATAGCACAGTGTAGCCCTTCCAACTTCAGGTGTGCACTGTCCTCCAAAGGACATGACCAGCCTTTGCTGACTTCTATGTCTACTACAGGTATTGCTGACAAGTCTTACCATGGTATCACAAAGCCCAATGGTATTTGTTGCTTTCCGCAAAGCTTCAGATTAAGAGTTTTATCCTTCATTTAAAAGATGTTTCTCTCCCTCATAGTTGCAGAAAGACAATAAAGAACATATTCAATAGCCTCAGAAGGTCAAAAAAGAAAGATCATACAAAGATTTTTCATTTAGAAACAAAATGACCCAGTAACCTCTTGTGACTTCCATTCATGATTTCTGAGTACATGGAGACAAAATCCCACTTTGCAAATGAAAGGCAGACATAGGCATGAGCTTATTTAATCAATGTGTAGCCATAAATTCAAATATTTTCTTTTCTTGAAAAGATGCCTTCCTCTAACATCAGTCTTTAAAGGAAATTCTAGCAGTTACTGCAGTGGGAGGAAAAGCAGGTTGATTGGTGACTGGTGTCACTCACTGCTAATGAAGACTGGATCACTATACAGGAGTTGAGAGTCTGTATGCCAGCAGGATGGGCAATTAATCTGCTGAGAGAAATTACCACTGACATAAAAATCTGCAGCATTAACTAAGTGTCAGCTTGGTGTAATGCAGAGCCAAAACACAGACAATATCTCATCTACACTTTGACCATGTGCACTGCACAGCAAACATTTTTTAAAATCATGTCAGTGTACAAATCTACTGCAACCCTTATGAATGCATACAAGATAAGTATGCGTGTTGAGGATTTTATGCTGCTGAAATCTCCTTGGCTTAATTTGAGAAAAAATTGCACATGAGAAGGAGCAACTGCAGGGCACTGGCTTACAGAAGAGGATTCACCAGAAATTGCCCCAGTGCATCAGAGACACTGTAGCAAGATATTCCAATGTATTTGTTTTTATGCAAACATGACCTGCATAAAAAGTGTAAACCATTTTCATTATTAAGAACTGACATCCAGTTTCTCTAGACAACCTTTCAGCTGATGCCACAACAACTTACTAGAATACAACTTGTACACTATCCATCTAATTGTCCTCCCAAAAGTATCCAAGTAGCTACTGATGTGAAACTTGATGACCAGAATGACTGCTAAATATTTATGCATGAAACATGAATCCTTGAATAGTTTGGGTTGGAGGGAACCTCTGAAAATTGTCTAGTCCATTCCCCCTGCTGTGGGCCAAGACATCTTTCATTAGGTCAGGTTGCTCAAATTCCCATCCAAGAGCAGCCTATGTACACTTCATTTGAGCCACAGTTCAACATGAAGACAGGCTGCCTTTCACAAAGATGGCCTTAATGATGTGTTGAGTTTGTCTTTACACTGTCCTTTTCTACTAAGATTACACAGGAGCTTTCTCTCTACAGTGGGTATTATCCAATACCTCTGAGTCAAAATCGCAGTGCCTAAAGGAACACAAGTTATGTTTTGAACTGGAGTAGCAAGACAGACAAAAGAATCCCTTACTAGCCAGCATATTTCTCATATTTCTCACTAGCTAGGGCATGTGGGTGGAAAACAAAGCAGTGGTTCCAACCACACAGCTTGAACTATAAATATATGCAAAAACTTAACACTGCTGAGGGAAATAAACTCATCATTGTTTCACTGTTTAATTATGATTTCTTTTCCTCATTGCACTATAGGTATGAATCCATACTGCCACATTTGCAGCTATTATCTCTCACATGTACAATAACGCAAACCCTTGGCATGAAGTTGCTTCTAATGGATCCAAATCAATCACTGTTCATTGAGGATACGCTGAATGGCACTTACTTAAGATGAAGACTGGAACAGTTGTAACAACCTATAGCTTGGGCAGAAGGGCAAAAGGGAGAGAGACCAAAAGAGAGAGAGATGGACTCTTTGTTTTCTTTCTATGGTATTGGCTAAAGCAGCCTATTTTGAAGCACACTGCCATGCAGCAGTTGGGTACTTCTATCACTATGCAGAGTTTCACAGCACAATTATTT